ATACACGAACCCCTTCCAGACCCTGACCCTTCCCCCAAAAATCTGGAAGAATTCAAAAAGTTCTCTGCTTTGTTCATAAGGCTCTCCAGAGCCCTGAATCTCTCTACACCTGAACCCACAGATACTGTGGTAGATCCATGCTTTACTTCTACTGAACAACAACAACCTGCTTCCACTGTGTTGCCCACTTTGCCCTTTCTACTAAAGATCTTAAAAAATACTGGTGTTTCCCCGGCTATGATCCTGGCAACCCCCAAGAGGGCAGAAAATTTATACCGTATTGATCTATCTTCAGCTTCGTGGCTATCTAAAATGCCTAAAGCAAATTCTATAGTAACTGATGCTCAACCAAAACCTGTCCAATCAAACCAGACTTCCCCCTCTGACAAAGAGGGAAGGAAACTTAACTCTATGGCCAAAAAGTTTTATTCCTCAGCATGCCTATTTGCACGCATGGCTCATTATGGGGTTTACATGAGTGTATACCAAACCTTCCTATGGAACAAAATATCTTCCTATTTAGAATTACTGCCTCCAGCTGACCAGCCACTGGCTCTGGCCTTTAAGCAAGAGGCTCTCCTTCTGTCATCATTGCAAAAGGACCTTGCAAGAAACACAGCCGATGCTTCTGGCAAACTCATTGCAGGCTCCGTGGCCCTTCGCCGCCATGCCTGGCTGAGGGCTGTTATCCTCTCTCAATCACAACGCACTCTCATTGAAAACCTTCCTATGGACGAGGCAGGACTGTTCAACCCTGAAACTGATTCACAACTTGAACATTCCCATAAAATGAAACAGACGGTCTTCAAATATGACCAACAACCTTACTCTCATCAACGTCAACGATGGGGCTCATACTACTACCGTCCTCACTACTACAACAGGCCTTATAATACCTCCTTCTACAGAGGACGCCAAAGATCTTACACCCAGTCTACGACCCCGAGACGTCCCCAACTCCCCTTCAGAGGTCAGTACCGTGGCTCCAGGCCCTCCAACAACTCTAAACGTTGTTTTTAGCACACCACTAACCACTGTCAACCACACTTCCACACATACATTATCACTTACATACCTCAACAGACTACAGTCTTTTCTTCCGGCATGGCAATCTATCACTACAGATGCCTGGGTCCTTGACATAGTTGAAAGGGGTTATGCAATAGAATTTGACACCTATCCACCCGTTGGGAGGGTTCTCCTCACACAACCCTCCCAAGAGATCTGGGAAGAAATACATTCTCTCCTTCAAAAGGGCACCATTTCTTCTAACCCCACACACAATGCTAACACCTGCTTCTTTTCTCGATATTTCTTAGTAGACAAGAGAGATGGAGGGCTACGCCCCATCCTGGACCTTCGCAGGCTTAACACCTTCATCACACCACGCAAGTTCCGCATGGTTACACTTCCTAACATCCTACCCTTCATTCCACCGGGAGCGTGGCTAGCGACGGTGGACCTGCGGGACACCTACTTCCACATCTCAATTAGAGAATCTCATCGCAGATTCCTAACCTTTGCAGTGCACAACAACCACTTCTCGTTCACTTCTCTCCCGTTTGGTTTATCCACCGCACCCAGGGTATTCACAAAATGCATGTCAGTCATAGCGGCACACCTCCGCCAGCAAAACATCGTGGTTTTTCAGTACCTGGATGACTGGTTATTTTGTTCTCCTTCAAAAACGCAACTGTACAACGACATTCATTACACCTTGTCTCTCTTACAGGACTTGGGTCTGGTAGTAAACCAAGAAAAATCCCATCTCACTCCGACTCAACGAATCCAGTTCATAGGAGCCGTCATAGACTCCTCTCTCCAGAAGGCCTTCCTCCCGGACGACCACTTCATCAATCTTCGACGAGCAATCCTAAGCCTCCAACACTCCCGCAGAACTTCGGCCTGGGCTATCCAGTCTATCCTTGGACACATGTCGTCTACCACAAGTGTAACCCCATTTGCCCGCCTAAAAATGAGACCACTACAAAGATGGTTCATCAAGGCATTCGATCCTCTACGGGAACCTCAATCCCGCATCCTGTACCCACCACACTCCGTCCTCCACTCCCTCTCATGGTGGACAAAGCAATACAATGTTCAATCAGGGATGCCTTTCATCCAACCTCACCCATCCATGTCCCTCACGACAGACGCCTCCAACTCAGGTTGGGGAGCGCACCTCAAGGGCTTCACAGTAAGCGGCCACTGGTCCCCTCGGGACCGCAAATTCCACATCAATGCACTCGAGATGATGGCAGTAGAAAAGGCCCTCAGAGCCTTTGTCCGCATTATCTCAAACCGCAAAATCCAAATTGTGACAGACAACACTGCAGTCAAATATTATCTAAACAAGCAGGGGGGGACACGCTCTCAGACTCTGCTATCCATATCGACACGAATCTGGGAATGGTGCATCCAGAGGAACATCACCCTCACAGCTATCCACCTACCAGGCCAGGACAACATACTGGCGGATTCCCTAAGCAGATCCTCAAAGAACAATCACGAGTGGCAACTACATCACACACAATTCAAGACTCTCACTCGCAAATGGGGCGTCCCCAGGATAGACCTGTTCGCATCCCCTGTAAACACACATTGCCCTCTCTATTGTGCAAGGCTCCGACCTCGCGCATCCCCAGGTTGTCTAGGAGACGCTTTCCTATTCCTATGGTCCCCGGGCCTTCTTTACCTCTTCCCGCCCCTCCCTCTCCTATCCCCGGTCATAGCCAAGATAATTCAGGACAATGCAGATTGCATCCTGATCACCCCCTGGTGGCCACGCCAACATTGGTTTGCTCCTCTCCTCCAGATCTCCAACAAAGAGTTCCTCCGACTCACTCCAACTCCAGACCTTCTCTCAGTGGAGAACGGACTGGTCCTCCATCCAGACCTCCACTCCCTCTCCCTGACGGCGTGGAGGATCAGACCACATTGAACCTATCCGATGAAGTTTCACGAATTCTCCTGGCCGCCCATAAACCAACTACTAAAAAGTCATATCATTATAAGTGGTCATCCTTCCAAAAGTATACACAAACAGTAGGCCACACGCCCCTTTCAGCTCCTATCCCTGTGGTATTGGATTTCCTTGTGCTCCTTTCCAACAAAAATTTTTCCCTTTCTTCGGTCAAATGCTACATTGCAGCAATTTCTTCCGGCCGTAGAAAGTTCGGCTTGCCGTCCCTTTTTCAAGACCACCTCATTCAATTATTCCTCAAGGGCTATAAAAATGTTCACCCTCCTACATCCCTCCCTTCACCTCAATGGAGCCTAGAACTAGTGTTATCTCAGTTGTCAAAACCACCCTTTGAACCGATGGCCTCTGCTGACATTTCCCACTTGTCTTGGAAAACGGCATTCCTAGTGGCCATTACGTCTGCTAGACGATCGAGCGAACTAACAGCTCTCCGCTCAGATCCTCCATATATCAGGTTCCACGAAGACAAAGTGGTCCTTCGGACCGATGTTACGTTTTTACCCAA